CAAAACCAAAGGTGTGGGGTTTGTATTGAACAAGCATGATTTGACCTTGACATACACATGGTAACGGCTCACAGTAAAACTGGGAGTCAACACTAGAATAAGCCAAGAGGAAACAGTCTAATTTGTATGACATCTCTCAGGTTCCAAACCAAAAACTGAACTCGTTGCCGTGGAGTTGATTCTGACTCATAGCAACCCATCCGGCTCAAATACGGTAACTAGCATTATTACATTATTCCATAACTAGAAATTCATTATAAGCCAGCATAAAGCACCTTTAGTATACCCCCTGATTCAGTTACTTAAGGATTTAAAATCACATTTCTTGTATATTTAGTAATGTGTAATGCATCTCTCTAATAAAAGACATACCAAACACAGGTGTCACCTTTGTTCTCTGGGCTACAAGCTCAGTGCCAAAACGCTGATTAAAATTTTAGCTGCTTTTAGCAATCAAGAGTAAAGATTAACTAGTGCTCTTTAAATATCTTCTAGAATACATCACACTGAGAAAGAGAGGGCAAAAAAAAAACAACAAAGTGATTAAAAAAAACCCCAAGGTGCCCCGCCCCACCTTCTTTATCTACGATTTCCCTATACAATTCAGTTAATTTACTTCCATCTAAATGGTCAATCTATGGTTTACCTGATACAGATGGCATTCAGAAGAGTCTTGTGTAGTACCTAAATCCTAAGATAATACTCAAAAATAAGAAATAGACATCAAACTCTGATAACCAGCTTTCTAGTACAATCCTGAGACCAACTAGGGCAGTGACTTTTATTAAGCAGGGAACTCTTGTTCAAACAAAACCCTACCAAAAAGTTCAGTATGCAAAAACAAATAGAAATGAATATTCATCCTGCAGAAGAAGGGTAGTAAATCCTAAACCCTCCTGTTCAGCACTCTCCTTCCCCATCCCAGCGAAACCAGAAAATTACTTAGTAAAATCTCTTCATTTTATAGAAGAAGAAACTGATGGGCCCAAAGAGGTTACTGGACTGACTGAGCCTAGATCACCCACATTGCAGACTTAAAGAGTTCAAACCTCCAATACCTGGCTGTCTAGTTAACTGCCCTTTTTAGCTGTATAAATGCTTCTTTATAGAACACATTAACTCAACTCAGAGTGGCACAAAGAAAAACAGGATTGTAACAGAAACACACTAATTTTCAGCGAACTCCCAGATGTCAATTCACAAGGTCCACGGATTTTGATTTCTCAAACCGTCTACAGACTGGATGCCAACCTCTCATTCTTGCTCTTTAAACTAGACGCTATGCTTCTATTTAGCAATAGGCTCCCCAAGTTACACATCAAAGACCTGATCAGGCAGGTCTGCAATGCAGGCCAGGCAACTTTCAGTCCTTATTTTAAGATATCCCAAAGTATCTTAAAGCAAAACCTATAAACAAAAAATCTGCAGGGAAAGGAGGTGCAGGGAAGTGGAATGGGGGAAATGTGAGATGTGTGATGGGTTGTTGTTAGATGCTGTCCAGTCGATTTTGACTCATAGCGACCTCATGTGACAGACTAAAACTGCCGCCCCATAACTGCCTTGGCTGTAATCTTTACGGAAGCAGATTGCCAGGTCTTTCTCCTGCAGAGTCACTGGGTCGGTCTGAACTCCCAACATTTCAGTGGCAGCCACAAGCTTAACCATTTGCACCACGAGGGCTCCTTGTATGAAGGGTAAATGTGCCAAAATCTAAGTTTTTACAATTAATATCAATGCTTCTAAAACACTGGATAACACGGACTGCCTTACTTAATCTAGCTAAAACAGCCAATTTAGTTTAATATTTACCAAGCAAGTATATATAAACAGTTAACGCACTTGGCTGCTAACCAAAAGGTTGGAGGTTCTATTCCACCCAGAGGCACTTTGGAAGAAAGGCTTGGCAATCTACTTCCAAAATACCAGCCATTGAAAATCCTAGGGAGCACAGTTATACTCTTGACACACGTAGGGTAGTCATGAGTCAGAACTGACTCCACAGCAACTGGCTATATATACTATATAGCTGATGCGGAAATAATGGGGAACAAACTGAGTGAATGCAAAGACACTGTCACCCATTCAAAGAATGTTACATAAATCTTTCTTATCCACTACACTGTAAAGGAAAAACCGTTTTTCTTACACTTCACTTTAAAACCAATGAACTACTTTTGTTTCTATGTACCTGACCCTACCACTCCTAAAACAAGCTTACCCTTTCCCCACCCTCAACAGTGACTACATTTCTACCTTAAAAGACTACTCCCAGAAGCCCTACGCTATTCTTGGATGCCCTCCCTAACCAGTTCACCAAGCTTTCTTCCTTAGAGCCAGATTCTGAAATCCCATCTACTCTCCCAGGAAGCCTTAACTTGAAAGTCAGGTAAATCTCTTTAGCCCTGCTCACAGTTTATAACTACCATAACTCTCTTCACTCAGCATCTTATAATAAGCATCTACTACTCTGCTCACAAGTTAATTTCATTTATTCATATGCTTATTCGATATATTATCCGTTGCCTTTGTTGGCTTCTATCACTGTTGCCCTTTTTAAATAAAGCTAGCAGATAAGCTACCATAAAAAAAAAGGCATGTACTTAATTTGGGCTTAGCACTGAAAATGTCAGATAAGCACTTAATGCTTTTGGAAAATGATTTCAAATACATTAAATTCAACCTGATTTGTGAAATTTATAAAACCTCCCAACATAGATGAAGCTCAAAAGCATCATGCTAAGCCAAAGAAGTCAGACATAAAGGACCTCATACTGCATGATTTCACTTACATGTAATTCTAAGAATAGTAATGGAAAACAAATCGTGGTTGCCAGGGGTCAGAGGTGGGGAGGTGAGACTGAATGCAAAGGGAGAGGGGGGAGCTTTTAGGGGTGATGGAACCATTCTAGATCTTGACTGTGGTGGTGGTTACAGGACTATACACTGTTAAATTAAAAAGGCTGAATTGTATTTAATATGAACTATATCTCAATAAATCTGATTAAATATTTTTTTAAAAACCTACCCAATGTGAAGATATACTGTGACAAAGGCATCAAATGATTCTAAACCAAAGCACCCCATTCTAATATGACTCCATCGCAAAACAATTACTGGCATATTCAAAAGGAACTACAACTGGAATATTAACAGAGTCCTAAATGTGATGTAAAAATGTTTTTATAAAGCCTACAGAATGAAAACCAAAGTGCAACTTAAAAAGAAATAGTATCCTGTATGTACTTTGCTGGACTTCAAATGAGTGTTGGAAGTAAAAATAACATACCATATCTAATGCATTACTTAAAAATTAAGAGTACTCATTTGTCCTGGAAAAAACTAACCGATTTTCTTTAACATTATTCTAGTTAAAATCCTGTCTTGTAGTAGAGCCCTTAAATGTAAAACATTTTAAACGTTCATTCCATTCACATTTGCCATTTAGGAGAGAAAAAAGCTAGATATTTTAAATCAAAAGGGTTTCATTCTTCCACAATAATAAATTACTTTCCCACACAATAGGTTTTTTAGAGATGGTAATCACTCAGAATGTCAAATCGAGATCATCTCAGATATCGCATTAATCTTTAACTCATAAAACCTGGAATTTTCTTCAAAATAATTTACTTGATCACTTACAACCAATAGTACACTTTATCATTCAGTTTCTCCATTAAAAACGTTTATCAGCATTGGAAAATTTTAAAGAATAGTGTTCCTTTGGTTGTTTCCACATGAAATTAATGTTATGTAAATCCAGTCCTTAATTCAATAAAAACTGGAATAGAAAGAGGCTACAGGTAAATACCATTCCATTTAATTCTCAACTATCTCTGATCTTTTTGTAAATGTTATTTGAGTAACTGTAAAATGGCTGGGTTTTAAACTATTTTTTAGTCTCTATTCTAAGAAGATTGTTAATCTGAGTCAAACTACTCTAACACCCTTTAAAGCTAACCATTTAAGAGAACCCAATTTTTTTTTAATCTGGTCGTCTTTTATACTGATTACTACTAATATTTGCCTTCACCAATATCCCATATCCCAAAAAAAAGGCCTGACGCCAAGTTTTACTGACAAAATAACAGGTTAAAATTACTTATGAAACTGTGGTTAAGTGATTAACCTTTCTTTTAACACAACTGAGTATATTTCAACATAGTTGGTGCTGCTCAAACTGCCTTTGCCATAACCCATAAAAATTTCAGTACACAGACTGAAATGTACCAAACGTTATCATTAATGAAAGGAATGAGTAATTAACACCCTTAAGAGGAACAGGAAAGATTCTGCACAGTATAATTTGACAATTTCGTGTCGCATCTGCTGCAGACATCACAAACAGGCTGTCATTATGCTATCTACTTCCTCGACCCCCATGGCCTCCTGTAGCTTTATTCTTGGCTTTTCAAAGGTTTAATCCACTCAGGGCAGCTAAAGGGGAAATCAAGGAAGCATAACTTGTGAACCTAAGCATAGGAAAGGTTAGGAAAATGGGGTTGAGTCACGTCGTTCCGCCATTTTCTAAGCGGAGGAGGAAGACATGTTGGAACGAAAACACAACAAAAGAGCAGCCATTTCCCAAGTCAGCTCCAATAGCAACCCGAACTGGCTGAGCCAGGTCACTTCGGCACCTTCAAATCCACTTCACTGGACAAACGTAAGAACATCAGAGGTGCCGACGTAAGGAAATCAGCAGCCAACGCTTCCGCGTAGGGATCAAAGATGACCCGCATACTTAACTGCAAATGAAAGCCTCGGGAAGAATGACGGAAGCTAAATGAAGCAATGTAACAAACTGAAATTCTAAACTAAGTTGGCAAACTAAAATTATACTCAGTGATTGTGGTGACATGGTTCATAGGAAACCACCGGCTGTAGGCAACTCAAGTAACTGAAATACCACGCCCGCGATTTAGCTGGTCCTGTTACCTGCTTCTACCCATTTCCCCATTCCGTACTTCCCTCAGTGGAGCGCCTGTTTGCTTGTGGGTTCTTACCGTATGTGGGGGATGCCAACCCCACCTTGAAGAATCTTATAGAGTTTGCTCTCGTACAGCAACTGGGGATGCCTGGCCTTCTGAGATTCTAGCTTCACTGCCACTTCCTGCAGGGGAAAGAGGGGATGATGGCATCAACATCCCTATGGATTCAATGTCACTGGGGAAAAGCAGGGGATACATTAGCAAAGCTCCAACTCGCGACTACAAGGTGGAAGTGAAAGATTGGGAAGAGAATCTTCTCTTTGTAATTATAAAACGAGGCATCAGCCCCAAAGGCCTCTTGAGGGATAGTGACGAAATTGGTAGTCCTCCAAAGTTCAAGAAAAGGATTCATCCAGAAAAGAGGCAACCTCTGAACGTAATGAGAGGTTTTCAAGGAACTAGGCGATCGGAAACTGTCCTAACTGGAACAACAACCCCAATATAATTCTATATATATATGTGTATATATATATATTATGTGGATCACAGAAACAGGATTTTGCCTTTCTCACGTTAAATGATGGTTTAAAAAAACAAAAGTTCGATGACGGGACATTTCAAAAGCTGGGAAACTTCACAGTTCACTCAACCTTTCTCTCGGCTTCTTTCCCTTTTAGGGAAAAACAGCGGGGAAGGTTCCTACACTAAGAAAAGTGGCTCCCCCTGGGCTGCCCACAGCGTCCGGGGCGGGGGGGTAGGAAGCCCGAGCAGTTGGGGGGAGGGTTGGGGAGATGAGGAAAAAAGCAGCATTATCTTGAACCCCACCCCAGGTAGTTACCTCGCCGTTGGTGATGTTGATCGCCAGATAAATGTCCCCAAAGGAGCCAGAACCGATCTTCCGTACCAGTTTATATTTCCCTCCGACAATGAACTCGGCCTTGGAGCCGCTGCTGCTCGCCATCCTGAGAAACGAAGATGGAAGGCTGGGGCCAAGCCCCGACACCTATGAGGGAAGGATGGGGCCTCTGGGGCTGGTCCACGGAGCAAAGCTGAGGAGGGCGTCAGGAAACGGAAAATGGAGGTCTTTTCTCGGCGTTACAGAACACAGAACCGGCCTAGGAAACCTGATCACCGCCGCTCAGTCAGGTTTCTTTTTGCCAGGCCGCAGTCTGTGAGAGGGTTCTCGCGTTTACTAGGCTGGGCCACTTGCTTCTGGGCGGCCGCCGCTGACTCGCTTTCGCGGCGACGTGTCGCGGGGCTGGAAAAGGGGAACGGTAAGTTAGGGCGGCGCTACCGCTGCCACCACTGCCGCCGGCTCCCGCCCGGAGGAACCCCTGTCACTCCGCCGACGCCGCCATCTTGTTCCTCCGGCTCCAGCCAACACAAAATGCCCCCAGTCTCCCGGAGCCCCTTCTTCACGGCGCAGAGGACTCTGGGAAAGCGATCTCGAGCTCTACCCCACTGGGTTCACAGGCAAGAGGGAGGGCGGAACCGGATCCGTGAGAGTCTCGGCCCACGCTCCGAGCGTCATCCCAGCACCTCCCCGCTGCGCGTGCGCGCTGTACCCCTTGCTGACTGCGCAAGCGTGCCGCGGCCTTTCCTCACCCCCGCCCCGGGCTCACTTCCACTTCCGGTCGTGGTTAGTTCCATTTTGCTTGTGTGGTTACTTGATAGCCGCCTGGTCTTTGGAAGGTCGCGCGGCCCCAACCCTCGAAAGCATATAAGGGAGATGTCACCTTCATATTTCGGGGAATATGGAAGGTTCAGGCCTCTTTGGGAATCCGGTACTGACCTTTGTTCTTTGAGGCGGTTTTTAAACTTTGATCTTTCTTCCGGCCCTCCCCCGGGCCGGCTTATTCTAGCTCAATTTCTGTTTGGAAAACGGCTGTCGTCGCTTCTGGTGGAGAGGAAGAGAAAAGCAGCCCTTGGCGACTGGGTTTGAAGGACTGGTTCAGCAGAGCCTTGCTGATAAGTCTAGATAATAAGAATCCTGCGCGCTAATGAGACCATCTTTTTAAAGGAGGAGAGGGGAAGCAGGAATTATTGACCCTGCGGCCCTACGTTTTTGTGTTGTAGCCCCACTAATACATTTTGTCCCCAAGAAAAGATCTAATACCAGGTCATAATATTACTAGTATATGTAATAAACAGAAAATAAAATAGACAGCCTTGAAAAAACAGCACATTAAAAGTTGTTATAGCCCCCCCCCCCCCCCCGCGCCAATAGAAAACCTGAAAAATCATCTTGGTCTTGTTGAAAACTAGAGTATTATTGACTCAAACAAAAGAAATGAGTATCACAAAATAAAACTGACAACGGTTAAAGGTTTTCACAGTAAAACATGTTACTTGCTAAGAATTGATCAAAGAATCAAATCTTGAACACATTTTGGTTTTGAGCTGGGAAAATTGGGCATGATAGGAATAATGGTCACAGCAGAAAGCCCAATGGTTGATACTATCTTCTGCAATATGAATGACACTCTGATGAATGAATCAAACCCATGTGAAATTATTCACTACAGGTTAGTAAGTAAGCAAAAGCTCATGCGTCCTTGCTTACTGGGTAATTTGCCTGTCAGGGATTGTAAATTTGAGAAGAGACTATGATTCTGTAGAAAGGTGCTATAGGGTTAGGAGAGAAACAAATGGCAGCCATGCCCAGGAGTAGAATCTTTGATGTGGTGAAAAAATGTGAAAATGTTCACTACAGATGATTTGGTAAGCAAGGTAAGCACCACGCTTACCTTGCCTATTGGATAATCCACCCCTGGACATCATCCTCTTTTGGTGACTTTAAGTATAAGTATATTTTGGCCAACTTGAAATCTCTACTGTCAGATTCTGGTCTGAAAAAAGAAAAAAAAGCCAATGTTTAAGCATCTTGAAGTTCCAAAGGATAACTACCATTCTGCTGATTTTCTGTCACAGCTATCCAAAATGTAATGGATTCCTTAACTTGAGAAGTTCCCCCATAAGGGAAGGAAGGTGTACGTTTAAGGGGATTTTTGGTGTATTGAGGAAAGACATGATCATTTGGGGTTAAGATAGGGGTGGGCAAGGAGTGGACTAGATTAATGAGTCCCAAAGATCCGTGTATGGACGGGTGCAGTGTCTAACAAAGTTTCCCAGAGATAATTACAAAAATATGAACAGTATAATGCATTTTTCTTTTATGTATCAAATTTCAAGCTGTATTTTATTCTGACATTTTATCTTCCTACATTTGTGTCATTAAAATGCCCTTTTATAAAATGATGCTAATGGTAGGTGATTGTTTTATTGTTTTTTAAATATATTTGGCAAAATAAAAAGTTGACACTTTGCAGTGCAGTGAACTACTTAATATGGCCCTTATAGCCATAGTTTTGTAATTCCCACTAAATGACTAGGTGGGACTATGCAAATGAGGTTCTGTGGCCCACCAAGGAGATTGGATAATATAAATAATAATAATATAAATAAGGTGTATGGCATGCTTGTGGGGATGGGGCCATGCAAATAAGGTGTATGGAACCCTAACAAGGGGATTGGTCAGTTTAGCCATTCTGCTAGGCTTAAAAGAGAGCCAGTTCCAGAGCAGAGGGAGGAAGGATCTCACCACCACCATCAAGAAAGAAGAGCCAGGAGTGGAGCGTGTCCTTTGGACCTGGGATCCCTGCACAGAGAACCTCCTTGACCCAGGAGACATAGAGAGCCGTAACACTGGAGACAACAATAGATGGCAAGAAGCAGTGGCAGAGAAATGACAGCAACAAAGGCATCAGAACCAGGAGACTGGCAGGAGACAGTATGGATGGTTTTCTGGCCCATGGAGCAAAAAAGCTGAGTGCCTTCAGGCAGGGAGACTTGCTGGTGGGACAGTGTGCCTCCAGGCACATGGTGGAGGTAGGTTTGCAGACCCATGGAGCTAGAAATGAGTATCTTCATGCTGAGGCTTACTGGTGGAGTGGGGTGCCTCTGGGCACTGATCAGCAGAGCTAAAAGAGCTTTGTAGCACTTGCCTGAGCAGGGCAGAGGTCAGGTTGAGGGGCCAAGGGCCAGAGAGAGACCTGCCTGCAGGCACAGCTGAGAAGAAGCTGTTCTGATCAAAGAACTGTATCCTGAGCATTCCAGAACATGAATTGTAACCTGTTACTTCCCTAATAAACCCCATAATTATGAGTTCTGTGTTGCCCTTGCAACAAATTATCAAACCCAGCAGAGAAGCAGAAGGTGCCATGGGGGTGATGGTTGGTGTCAGACTTGGAAAATAGGTTGGCAGGTGGAGATATGTGTGACCTCTGCCTCATAGGAATCAGCCTTAGGCTGTTGATTTTGATTCTCCTTCCCCCTTTTGAAGTTAAAGAAGTTCAGACACCCCCATCAAGCCATTTTTACAAACTTCTATCTGCCTCTTTTTTTTTTTTTTAATTTTTATAAGTCCGTGAAATCTCAATGAAAGTCTAAATGACTTACAGAAGCCCTTCCAACCCTGAGATCCTATGATTCTGTAATTTATATATATATATATATATATATACACACACATATATATATATTTGGTGTGCCTCCTCATTTGCTGCCTGCCTGCTATAGTCACTATTCCAGGACTAACAATATCCAGCAAAATGAACTAAAATGCCATATGAGTACTATAGCCTTTTCAAATGTGATCTCAGTTGGATCCATCTTAAGATATAAATTTGTCAGATTTAGGAAGAGCAAAGGGCTTTTTGTTTTTGCTTTTATTATTTATATGGAAAATGAAGTTTTTAGGTATTGGATATTACTCAGCCTTTTCAAAATCATGTATCTGTGTAAGGGCACTCCAAAATCGGCTGTGCTTGGCACAACTAAAATGGCTTACACAAGGTTTGACTCAGACTCCATTTCATCCTAGGCTGTGCAGAAAGGTCTTACACAAAGAGCTAGGGAACTTGGCCTGGGCATGTCCTTAATGATTTACCAAAAATACCCAATCAGAAGAACTTACTTTAGTTAGCCAATCGGAATTCTTTTTTTTTTTTTTTTTTTACTGTTAGTTCCTAGTATTTTAGTATTTGAGCTCTGCACAGCCTCTGACTAATGGGAGCATTTGTAATTGCCTTCTTGCTCTGTGCAACCCTAATTCACAAATCACTCTATTCTCAATAAATCTCTTTTACTTTTACCTTAAACAGATGCAATGATTTTACTCTATGACATTTCTTGATGTAATCAGCAGGATTCAAAGGTGCCTTATCTTCTGTATTCCTGAGAAGCCACAGACCCAGTGCACTGGTACCAAGCACAAGCCCCATACACTCATACCACCTCCTCAAACTCTTGGGGATCACCTAAGGTAAGCCCTCTCGAATCAAGTCTCTGCTTATTGCAAAGACTTTGCAAGATTTATTATCTGTCCTTTAATTTTGCTTTCATTTTCTGCTCATCTCTCAAGCGTCATGCTGAGTTTGTTGCCAAATTAAGTTTGGGGGGCTGACATCTAGTGGCCGGTCAGTTTTATTGAACTTCTTTTTCTCTTTGGTGCACCATAAGGTTTTTGCACACATTCAGGTTTTAATGCTTGCAAGTTTCTTAGTAAGATGGGCAATGCCATGTCAAAAACTGATGCAGGACCTCTTTTGGGGACTCCTGAAGCTTATGTGACCAAGCATTAGGGGCCCAGTTCAGTTTTGTATATTGATCGCTGGCATGCACTTATCAAGAGAAATCTAGAAGAGCTATGGCTATTGTGGGGCATGTTTGATTTAAATAAGTTAACTTTTCTGCACAGTAAACTGGAAGCCAAAGGCTCCCGAGTCAAACAAACCCAACGGGAGGCCTTTTATTTTTTTTTAAAGTGGTATCTGAAAGCTTTCAAAAGATATCAAGACAGTAAATTTCCACCTTTACAAGACATAGTTTAAAAATAGGCTAAACAGATTAAAGAGTTAGAATGTTATAGCTTTAACCTCTTCAGCTGTCTACTTGGCAGCTGTTCCTCTCCTTCCCTCTGCCCCTCCAGCAGTTACTCCTTTTTATCCTTCTTTGCCTTCTTATTTCTCTAATAACACTTTAACTGAGCTCCCTTTCTTTCCAACAAAATTGGCCAAAAAACTCTGTCTGAAATGCCTTTTAAAATTCATCATAGTACGAACACAAAGGATCTTCCCTGTATTACTTTTATCCCTTGAACACCCTTACAATTGCATAACATTGTGAAGGATTTTCTTCTCTGACAGTTCAGAAGCAATGAAACTAAAGTTTTAACCTACTTTTAACATCCTTGATAAACGAGCTTCGTTTGGGGTTCATGTTTAAAAACACCATAAAATGAATATACTTGAAGTAATTTAGAATTTCAGTGGTCATCTTACAAAAAAATATGTTTCCATCTGTTCTTTTTCTTTCCATTTCAAAAAAAAAAAAAAAGAGTTCCCATTTGCACTGTCTTTACTTTCCTCTTTGTGGAGCTTTTGTGTTGTACTTAGTTTTGTCAAGCAGT